GGCTGCAGGAGAAACTAATGGTACATGTCTTTGGAAAAAAAGTATGTACGTGACCTTCACATGCTACATTTTATAGGAGAAATTGTTTCGCTACCTTGTGAGAAGACTGGAACAAAACCAAATTTTTCTTCCTACAAGTAATGTTTCTAGTTTTCATCTCACATTCTAACAACATGGCAATTCTCAAACGTTGGAGAACTTGGTCAGAAAAATGTGTGATCTGATTTGAAAAAAAAACCAACCACAACACAGACCACATACCAGAAGAATATATGTTTTGAGGCCTTGATCCTTTACATCAGCCTGAGGTGTTATGGTGCCTGCTGGGAATAATAATTTGACTGTCTTAGGTTTCCATGTTTCCTTGTGGCCAGGCTGTCTCACCATGTTGAGACTTATAGAACATAAACAGTTAAGTCAGAGATGGGCTGTTGAGCAACATAGAAGTAAGCTTTTTGTTAGTAAACACACTTTATGGCAGAAGACAGTAGTAAAACATAGAATTTGTAACACTGATGGGTTCACTGGCCACAGAAAGATTAAGTTTAATCTTGAAGTAATACCAAAAACAGAGCTTACAGAGCTTACCTACCCAAAGAACAGGGATGTCACCTCCAAATAAGCTGTGTAGTACTATATGGAGATGCTATCTGGGTCTCAGATGCTGTAAAGCCATGATGTATTCATATCTGTATGTGCATACAGCACATGAGACTTTTAGCTTGTAGTCAACATTATGTGTTTTCCAGATACAAGCTAGGCTAGAATATTTGGGGCCATCTCTGGTATATCTGCTGTATTTTGAAATGTAGATATACTCCATGTTTTTCTTGTTTTTTTCAATACATTGAAGCAATCTGAATTGAAGTTAATCCATTGAAAACAAAATTATTTGTTGTTGGATAGTTGGAAAATTGCAAAATAGAAACAATTACTTGGATATTTTTACTTTACAAAATCTGCATTTGAGGTAAAAAAAAAAAAGATGGATTCCTAGCCCGCTGAAAATAAAACATTGGATAATGGAAAAATGCTGAGTATTTTTGGTGTGGTTATTTTTGGGGGTTTGTTTTGGTTTTTATTGTTTTAAGTCTTTTGGAAACCTTAAAGCCCCAAAGATGAGGTAATTGTGAAAAGTGATCAATAAAAACAAAGTAAAAGACGGTGTCTTACCTGAAACTGCCTAAGAGGGAATACAGGAATTAATCACCAACTGTTGATCATACAGCCCCGTTTACATACAGGTGATAATACCGAATGGTTTATTTAGCAATCTGAAGATCAGTCTCTCTTAAGCAGCATGAAAAGTTACAGGAAAGCTCTCAAGAGATAAAGAACAGATTCTTTCCTGCAGGAATTTTCTAGAAATCTTCCTGTGCTGATGCTTTTAAAATCAGATCTCAAAATTCAAATGACATGACTTAGTTTTTCTTGTTGGCCCACCAAAGTGCGTGTCGCATTGTTACTGAGTTCCCAGCACCAAGTGCTTTGCTTTGTAGATCACCTCTAGTTGCTGCTGTACTACTTACTAATGTGCATCGTGTGAGATGCCTAATAAAAACAAGTGGGGGTGTTAAATATTGTTGTAGTTTGTTTAGTATAGACCTCAGCAGTACGCCAGGGTGGCTGTCAACCATTCTGAATCACAGATAGAAGATTTGCTTATACACTTATTTGGTCCCCTTTCTATCGAATCTACACAGGCTGCAGTTTCACAAGGAAAATAATACCCTTGTTTTACAGAGGTAGAGAAACTTACCCAAAAATGGTGAGGAAGTTACCTTTAGAAGAGGGAACCAAACCCAGTAACTGAGGTCCCATATCTAGTACTCTAGCTATTGGATGGATTTTTTTTTTTTATGGAAGCACTACTCCACTTGTGTACAAGTATGATGGTTCTCTTGTCAGTTCACTATTTTGTGCAGGCAAAGATGAAGCTATCACTGAAGTCACAGGAGAAGTCAGAGGAAAATCTTTCCGGATCACAACCAACTTAATAGTTTTATCAATTTGCTAATATTTGTAATGCCACCCAAATTTTCTGAATACTATTTAGAACAAAACCACTTTTTTTGGTCTATAGCCTGGAAGGAAACCTTTACCTAATCATGTAAAAAGCAGGTGAAATGTATGGTGAAACATGACTTGCAGAGACAAAGATGTTCAGCATGGTCAGATAAGATGGTTCTAGAACCAAGGGAAGTTTTATGACACGTGTGAGCTTGATTCTGGAAATAAAGGCATTTAAAACATACAAAGAGACACAATGGTTACTGACCTGCTGAAGAAATGCAAAGGACAGAATCAAATACATGTGTACCTGTATACATGGTAAGGTATTTCTTACCGAGAAGTGAAGATGAAGCATAAATATGAAATCATTCCTTTAGATGTGGTTAGTTACAGCGTACTAAGGAAAAATATAAAAAACTAGGTTGTGGCATAGCTAGTGGTGTATTTGCGTCTGGTTTGATGTCAGTATTGTAACTAAGATAAGCGGTTAGGCTCAGAGTTGTGAGAGGGAATGCCTTACAGTAGAATGACTGGTTAAATTAACTATTTGTAGAGTTCACCCAGGTACCTTCAATATGCAGGTGTCATTGAGTTACTTCTGGAGCAGCTCCAAAGCTCTGACACGGAAGACAAAAACCCAAGTCAGTATCAGCATAATGTACTTGACTAACTTTTGTCAACTCGGGAGCTGCTTTATGGGAAGCTCAGGTGTTCTTGCAAGAGGAGGCAGGTTTCTATAAGACATGGGTCAGACTGCTGGGGAGAATAATAAAGTTGGCCTGTCCATTGTGTTCCTGAGTGGGCACCCAGAAAAATACAAAAACACTCCCAAGTGTCTTATTTTGGTGTTTCTTATTAATTTCAATTTCTAGGAAGAGTTTTATGGAAAAGAATTGATTTTGGCTGACCGAGAAACAGTGGAACAAGAAGCAGACACTATTTTAAAAGAAGCTGATGTTTGTGATGTTGCATTTCTTGTAGTTGGTGATCCCTTTGGGTAAGACAAAGCAACATTTTAATTATTGCTCTAGCTTGATCACTCTCTTTTTTCAATAAGAAGGAGCCATACTGCATAACTGTAATTCTTTATGAAGAAGCTGATTTTCAGACCAGAAGCACTTTTTATGTCTTTGTATATTTTCTATTGCATTAAAAATACACATGCAATTGTATACACTTTATCTTGCTTTGGAGTTTCCTTGCCTAGATATCCTTTATAGATAGAAATGTGGGCCCTCCAATGTTGTAAATCTCTCCTTCAGCAGTCACATATTTCATTCTCCATGCTAGCTTTTATAGAGAATATTTTCTTCCAGGTTTTATCTGCTAACAGAAGAAATTCTAAGATATCACATAATTAAGACATGCGCTGTGTTTTGAGAGAGTATTCTTTTGGTTGCTATTTGTACTTATGAACTGCAGCTTTTATGCTCAGTTGTTTTAAAATGAATACTGATTGTTGGTTGTACAGTGCTTCTGCTTTGATATATGCTGGGTTTTAAAATCACTTAGATAGTTATAAATGTCTTCTCATTTGGTTTATTAAGCCTTTTGTTTCCACTTTTTATCCCTGCTGAAAAGTATAGTCTTTTTCTATCACCAGAAGGATCTCCTTCTGTGTTTTCAGTCAGGCATCATCAATCTGTAATGTCAAGCCATACAGAAGAGATTCAGTCTCCAGCTGGTGACTCAAGATTTATACCACAGTGTTAAGGGGCACAGAAAAAATCAAATCACTGAGCACCCTATTTGTGAGTGAAAAAATAGAGTTTATGAAAAAGAGGAGCAGTGTGCACATCTGTCAAAAGTGGATAATTTATGTAAATACAGGTTGAAGGGAATTGGCAAGAGAATATTATATTAAACTACTACGTATAGGCAGATGATTTTGTATTTCAGAAATATTAATTGTACTTTCAATGCACGCTAACATTAAAATTAGGGTTCATGTAGAGTGTAGAGCCACGTTACCCGTACCCTTGTGCTCTCATCCTGTGACTGATGTAAGTACACAAGATGTAAAAAAACAACCTACATGTATTGAAATGTAATTGTTACTTGTAAGCACTATCTGGATCTGCCTTAGTTATTAGTTTCAGTGTCAAAATACTTCAATTCTCAAAACTACCCTTTCTTTGAATGAGCTGTTTCGCTCTAAATGTTCATGTGCTTAGCTATTAATATTGCAGCTAGAACTGCTCCTATGGCCACCTAGAGCCCTAAGGATTTAGAGGTTCATGAGATTACTAGGAAAGAGTACTGAGTGTTTCTGTCCTAAGAGAAGCCATGTGGGAAGAGGGTAGAAGACACGTGACTGCAGCTGATTGTAGAGTTTCAAGTATATTTGCAGGTCAGAAGAGTACTTGGCAGCCGTAGAAAATCTTAGGTGTTGGTGGTTAACAGTTAATGTGACAAAACAAGCTGTGCTTCTCACTGTGCACACTCCAAGTTTTTATCTGCATGTGTGGTAACAGCCATGGATGTGCTAGCAGGAACCTGACAATTTTAGGAGTATACTGGAAAGCCCACCTTCATCTAGCCTGCTGCTACCATTCATGTTATTACTACCCATAAAACTTAAAATCTGTATCAGTGACAGAAAATACTAGTATAGCTCTGGGTGCAGAGGGCTGGCTCCATGAAGGCTTTGCTGGTATTAGCTGAGTGCTCATGAGGGCACTTCTGCTTTTAGCTACAGTCATTATGGATGGATCTATTGGGAGAAAACATTGGCTGAGGAAATTTCAGTGAATAAAGCCAGCTGATCCCTTGGTCAGTATTAGCATAACCACAAAGTCTTCCAGTGCTCCTTGTCCTACGTATGTGAAGGGAATAATACAAGGCCATAAAACCAGTGCCCTCTTCTCTTAGAGCAGGCATTCTTAAGTCACCTTTGCTTATGGAGGTCAGGAGTATAGTTTGTTTACTAATCGAAAGGTTGTTTTAGATCACTTCACTGCATTCTCCTAGGTCTGGGACCCTGTTTGTGTCAGGGTCTCTGATTTCTGAAATTCAGATTCCTCTATTTTTTTTTCCCCTCCAGTGAAATTGATTTCTTTTTAAAATGATTGATCCTTACAGCCTTGCCAGCTGCTTCCACATTTGTGTTCCAGCCTGAAGCACCTGATCTGCTGATTGGTGCTAGTCAGACATGCAGTGTCAGAATTATCAGACTGAAAAATCAAGGGAGTTGTTAGGGTAACGGAACTCGGCCAGGGTGAAAGCAGTCTTCCTATTTAATTATTCTGATCAGCATATGCTGTTTCTTTCTTTGCTTCCTTCTTTGGAATGGCCACACAGAAATGTGTGGTACATCTTGGAAATGAGATGGCTAAGGCCATTGTTCAGGTTTGGTAAATTTAGGCAAGGAGTATGTGCCCTTTCATATTTCACATGGAAAATGGAGTGCCTAACATGTTTGTAAGCGTACGTGCAAGCAAGATAACATACATAAACACTGTTACAGTTCAAAGATTTGCTGGATCTGTATATACTTACTGTTTTAGAAGGACTCTAATCCCAATTGTTTTAACTACAAGCCCAGTAATACTTGCACCAGTCACCACAAGGTGTTTATTGAGCATTAGACCTGGAGCCAAAATTAGCTCAGTTCTAAGCTTAACTAGAATTTTCTTAATTGTTTCAGAGTAAACTTGATCACTCAAACTTAGGCATTGTCAATTTGAGTAATTTGGCTTAAATATTCCAAAAAACCCATTCTATGATTCTATTAAAAGCTGGTTTAGTCTAAAGATGTGTTTTCTAACTACTGCATGCAGTTTACCTCAGTCTGTTCCAAGTTCTTGTTTGAGTGTGTTGCTTTCCTAGCGTGCACTGGTGCACATGGGAGAAAGCCTGGCTGTGCAGCGAGTAAGGAAATACTGGAGTTTTGTTGAAGCCTATGCCAAACAGTTTACCTTTACAGTTCAACAGATGTCCGGCAGGCACCTGCAGAAGACAAAGGATAAATGGAACTTTCCTTTTCCAAGTACTTGCCAAAGCTGCTTTAAAAAGTAACAATTGTGTTGGTGTTAGCTTTAATGATGCCAGAAAGCCGCAAAGAATCGTAACATACTGGGGATGCCTGTATTTTCAGCTAGGGAAGATGACATATGGAAGTCTTACTGGAGTTTTTACTTTCCTGTAACGATTAGTCAAGTTATTGTTGCCCTTTTGGCACCTCTGCATTGCCCTAGTTGTGACAGGTTTAATTTTACTTTCAAAACAAATTATAATGCTAGAAACGCTTGGTCACTCTCTCTTTTCAGTCTTTAATTCCTTTCTCTTCTTAGGGCCACGACGCACAGTGATTTAGTACTACGTGCAGTAAAATTGGGAATTCCATACAAGGTCATTCATAATGCTTCAATAATGAATGCAGTGGGCTGCTGTGGTTTACAGGTAACATTTTTTTATATGTGCTATTCCACAACTGCTAAACTTAGAATTGGTGATCTCTTCTACTGCTGTAGCAGTGCATGTTGCCATCTGAAGTCCGAAGATCTGTAGCAACAGTACACTTCTGTTGTCAGAATTTGTTAACACTTAATTTTCAGCATGCTACATGTCAGCAATGACATGATTTTGATGAGCGCATGTGTAAATGAATAGTAACACTTCTGTTCTTCTTCACTCTCTAACTTCCTTCTGCCCCAGGAGACTTTGGTATTTAAGTTATTTTACAGATAAAACTTTGCTTTTACAGATAAAGCTTTGCTCATTTGGCTTCCTTCTACTACTGATGGTCACCTGATAAGTTTATTCTTAAATTAAGTTGTTGTCCTGTTGAGAAATATGTTGTTCTTGTCATAAAAGGGATACATGCACAAGCCTGTGTATATGCCCAACTCAGATCATAACTAATTTCAAAATCTTGTATATGATGCGTTCTTTCCCTCCAAGGATTACCTGTCTTCAGTTTCCACCTGTCTGCCAAGAGAAGAGGGATTTGCCTAGCCTAGGACTAGAAGAACAAATGACGGTTTTTGTGCTTCTTGAATGGCTACTAGAAAAGGTTTAGTGTCCCCCAAGAATATACTTCACTACTTTCTTTTACATATGTATAGGTCCATTATTACTTTTCCTGCATGAAAAATGTTACAGCAGTGTATGTATCAACTAATCACGTATAAATTAGTTGAAGCTTCCCCCTCTTGTTTTCATTCATTACTTTAACATAGAACATTATTTTACTTCATTACTTTTTCATTACTTCACATTCATTACTTTAACATAGAGAAGACCTTCTAGCAGCCTTCCAGTACTTAAAAGGGGGCCTACAGGAAAGCTGGAGAGGGACTTTTTACAAAGGCATGTAGTGACAGGACAAGGAGTAATGGCTTTAAATTGAAAGAGGGTAAATTTAGATTAGATATTAGGAAGAATTTCTTCACTGTGAGGGTGGTGAAGCACTGGAACAGGTTGCCCAGAGTTGTGGCTGCCCCATCCCTGGAAGTGTTCAAGGCCAGGTTGGATGAGGCTTTGGGCAACCTGATCTAGGGGAAAGTGTCCCTGCCCATGGCAGAGGGGTTGTAACTAGCTGATCTTTAAGGTCCCTTCCAACCCAAACCTTTCTATGATTCTGTGCACCTGCCCTCTCAAAGTTCAGAATGGTTCTCTGTGTATGGGAACCCTTAAAACAAGCTCCCACTTTACCAAAACTGACAGGAAGCACAGAAATGTAATGTACTACAGACAAGAGTTGAGAGTTTGAACAAAAAGTTATCATCACTGAAGGAGGAAGCATTACTTCCTAGCTTAACATAAAAGAACACCATTTTTTAAATTTCAATAAACAAGTAACCCGTTCAAATTTACACTGACAAACTCCAATAACCTTATTTCAGTGCTGCCCAGCAGCAGAAAATCTGTTGCAATAAGCTGGGTACTGTCTTTGGCTTTGATTACATCTGAATGGTTTAGAAATGTGAAAGCACTGTCTGATCTAGCAGTTCAGGAAAACTGCATTGACACCTGATCCGAGACGTGAACACTAATGCCAAAGGGAATGCAGCATAGGATTCACATTCTTTATAATTCTTCTCATGAGCGCCTTCTTAGTGATACCTGCCTGTTGCTGTAAGACTTGGGCAAAATTATCTTTTAGGAAGGAAATAGGCTCCTTGGTGTCTAAAATCTACATGTGCAGCAGACAGATGGCAGCTGTTGCACCACTGCGTTTACTGGAGTGAGTAACACAAGAGTTGAGGCTGGGGCTTACCCTTTCCCCTTTTGGCTCGTGGTGGTGCAGAGTTTGCTTCTGCTATCAAGCTGTTGACAAGTAGTTCCTACTACCCACTGTCATATTCCCAAAGAGAACAGGTGACTACATTTTCTGAAAGTTTGCCTCCTTCACAACTCCAGCTAGGCATAGGAAGGAAGAGTATAGAGCTTCTAGTTAACTGAAAAAAAGAGCAGAAAACCAACTGAGAATATATTGCAAACGGTCCATAAGGTTTTTCACATAGGCAGAGTTTTGGGGATTAGTTTACTATTTTCTTATCCCATATTGAAGGGAACAGACCATAAAGGAAATGTTATGTTATTCACTCTGGCATTAGTTGTCTTTTCCATTCTGGCTTGGGAGGGGCTGCTTTCTCATAAGTCAACATTCCTGTTGTTGTATAAAGCATTTTAGAAAATAGTCATCATATTGTATTACTGGACAGACTTTGTGTTTCACTCTTCATTGCTCTGTACTGCATAAACAGCAAGTGAGGGGTATCTTACAAAAAAAGCAGCCTGTGATTTAATTAGAGTTGTGGTGGACGTTTATAATTTCTTTCAACAGTCTTTACATTCATGGCTGTCTCCTGCCATCAATTTAGTTTTGGAGTTAATATGTTTCAAATTGCAAAGTTGCTGTCAAGTATAGCAGGGATTCCTCTTTTGCTTCACCACAGAAAAGGCTTGGCTTTTTTTCCTATTTTAATCTGATTGTGATACAAAACCTCTTTCTGTCTTACTAGAGAAAAACAGGAAACACCTTTATACGCTGTTCTGAAAACCATGTGCGTAGCGAGCTGTAACTGCTGATTAGGCCCTCAGTAAAATGCAGCTATAGCCCAATCTGTTCACAAAAGAACATGTCTCTTGTCTTCAGAGCAACGTTTCTGTGCGGCCAACAACATTCTGGTAGTTGTGCAGTTTTCCTGTACAGTAGTGAGTTACTGAAGTCAGTAGAGCGTTAGTGATGGTTTGTCGCCTTCAATTCATAGACATATTTCTTGCCAAATTGTAAAGAAGGGAAGAAGGGTTGAATATCTATTTTCAAATACTTTTTTTTTTTAACTGTCTTGCTCATTTAATGAAATGAGTGCAGCTGTTTTGAAGGCTGCACAGGTGAAGATTGCATTTATATAAAGAATAGGGTTTTTCTAGTTTTGAAAATTAAACTTTTTGAACTTCTAGGAAGCTCTCAGATTGATACAATGAACTATAGGTATTGCAAGCAGGGGGTAGTATAACTTAGCAAAGTATTGGTCTGACTGGGCATGAGGTTCTATGACTTGCTGTGGCTCACTCTTTCACATTGTTCTTGCTTTGCCTCACTGTGTCAGATCTTTTTTTTCAAAGCTGAAGAACACTTTTTCCCTCAAATGAATACAGCAGGAGGGGAGAAGCCAGGAAAAGTGCCTCTGTGTGAGTGCCTCTTAGCACGTTCTCTGCAGGTTCACCTCTCTTGTCTGGAATGTGAGTTAGGTATGCTGATCACTCTGACGCCTGTTGTAGTAGGGAACAACCACTAGTGAAGAAAGTCATGCAGTTTAGTATCTATGCACACTGCCAGGGAAGTCAGGGAGAGAGGACAGAAGTCCCCAGGGGAAGGCCAAAATTCTCAGAGAGCACTTCTTGTAGTTGGTAACTCCAGTTAGGCAGTTCAGCTGTCCTCAGCAGCAGCTGTGCTGTAGTTCTGTACCTTTGGAAAGGTTAGTATTTTCAGTAACAGGCTTATCTCTCTTCTACCACTGTCTTCCTGTGAGCAAGACATTGCCTTGGCTCTAACTGACTAGGATTCAGCATTCCAAGCTGAGAACAAAGGGAGAGCCTAGCCTGCCCTCCATGGCTTTATCAGTTTTTCAGAATACGGCTCATTGCCAATGCTTTAGCCTTAGAAAGAAGAGGCAGAAAACTCTGGATCTCTAACTGATACCTTTTTCCTTCCTTCCTAATCTGCATGACATTTCGGTTAGTTTGGGGAGGTCACTGCCAGAGTGGTGCTCCCAGGACAGAACTCTCTCTGGCCCCATTCTGGTAATGTACCTTTGAGGTAGCAGTATGGATAGTCAACATGAGGAAGACTGCATCATACTGACTTGTGATGCATGTGAAGGAGTGATGCAACTTGAAATAGTGTGAGATAATGGTATTACTGTAAAAAAAGAGGATTGAGAGCTAAAGTTCAAAGCTAGAGGCAAGCCATGGGATGAGACAAAAGACTAAAATGAGTGACTTATTTCTGTGAAAGTGATGTTGCTAGTTTTGAAAGCATTTACTTTATATTTTGGTAGGGTAGCTAGGAAAAAAACATGTCATGGCAAAGACCTGCCTTTCTTTTGAGACGTACTCACTTTCCACCTGAATAGCTTCAGAACAAACATCTGCATGTCCCCTTGTTTCTTTCAGTGACTCGATTTTTTTTTTTGCAGTCCAGTTAATTCTTGTAAGACAATTACAGTTATAAAATAGCTGATCACTTAAATACAAAAGCAGTGCTTACTATGTTATTTTTGAGTTTTTACTGAACAGTTGAGTACATTTTCAGTGTCAAGTAGAAAGTTATTACTTGTAGATAAGGAAGCTGAAGGATACTATCATTACTCTCTGTGCTCATAGTCAAATAGAAAACCTGTAGTAGCTGCAGGAGCGGAACCTCTGAGTTCCACCCTCTCTCTGTGCCCTAATCTTCAAAAATACTCTTTGCTCTAATAGGAGGGGCTGTACACAAAATGTTTTTTATTCACTGACAGTTACGCTGTTTTCCATCACTACCGGCTTCTGAGCCTTTTCTAAGTTGGCATTTGTTTCTCAAACCAATTAAAGGTTAAATCAGTGCTAATCACAGTACTTTATTACTCACAATTGCTGTTCAACTTAGTGCCATTTCACACCAGCAAATATGACCCAGAAATATCCATTTAATCAGAGTAGATTTTTTTCTCCATTTAGATGTCTTTGCTTCAGATTAGTAACCCAAGTGACTAGGGTGGGAATGAATTATTGTTTGACATTGCTGGGAAGAGTCTTAGGAGGTTGTTAGAGATAAGGTGACATTACCTTGGAGGGAAAATCCTGTTCTGTTCAAGTTTTCTTGGAGTTTCTGAGTCTTTTGATAGCTGAATTTTGTTCTGCTTGCGGAGCGGCTAGTTCTTAAATGCTGATACAGGAGGCAGCCAAGAAAA